CGTGTGTACCGAGTTTCATATTATTACATACAAGCGTGTTTGAGTTATGGACCAAGTGTTCGGACCCCGTTCCAGGGGGCGCTGACGAGCCGCCCTGCCACGCCCGGGTACCATCTTCAGCCCGGCTCTGATGGCCGCGGGTTCTGACCCGTGTGCAAAGTTTCAAGAGTTTTCGAGCACGTTAAGGGCCCCAAAAGTGCCCAAAAGGTAGCAAAATAATAATAATAATAAAGAATAAATATAGCTGCGAGCAGCGATGGCGGGCCCAAGCCGGAGGCACCGCAACCCCGGTTCCTTTAGTTACCTAAAGGCACCCGGGTGGCGGTGCCGAAGGCTTTGGCCCTTTTATGATTAAATGTTAAAACGGCTTGCCATACTCTGTCATTTCGACTAGTCACAATTATGTTACAGATATCTTAAATGATAATACAAACTATCCAAAATGTAATTACGAATAGACAGAAAGACGTTGTTGATATCTACAATGTTAATTCCGGACAGGCAAACTTAGCTTTTAAATGTTAAAAGGGCTTGCCATACAGGGACGTAGGCTCAGAGAGAGGCTCACCATATTCAAACCAAAATATCTGACTTCCTCTTGGTCCGAGCTAATGACTATGTATTAGAAAGTTGTCCGGCTTGAGGAGTACAATGTATATACCGATTTTTGTAACTGTAGATAAAACTAACAACCCCACTTTTGTCAAAAGGTGGCGCTATTTAGTCCTTGCACATTGCCCGTTTCTGAAACTTTGCACGTCTACTGGCTAATAAATGTGATGTATCTGTTGAGTTTCAAGCAATTTCAATTTCAATTTGACTGTTGAAAAGAAGTGCGCCGATTAGATACTCAGGATCGGTATCGGCTCTGACACTGCCATCTTTGACGAGGCTGATTCAAATTCTATATTGTGCATATACTATTCTGTTAGGCACAAAGGCACAAAAACTTTCTAAAGTACCATAAAGTTTTTGTGTACTGTATTATTAGTGTTCTGAAGCTATTATGTGATATAGAAATTAATATTTAAGTCATTAAATTCAAGAACACAAACTTTTCCCTCTCTGCGCCTGTCAGTCATTCTCCATTCAGCATTCAAACAGCACGTCACATTCGGTTACAGTCAATGATGAAACGATCTTCAATGATTCAATGTTAATCCTATTATACTGGATCTTTAAGATAAAGGTCTAAAGGTCTATATTTTCGAATGAAGAAACTTTTTCTTGCTGGACTTTATTGCTGTAACTTAATCGTGTTACTTTCTACCGGGTGTCGGACGCTGTCGGTTAGATCACAACACTAGAGTCAGAGCACTATAATTGTTCTTCACGCACACAGTAACTGAAATTTAAAACCTTTAAAAGAAAAGGCTCAATAAACTATTGCATAGATAGATAATGTATAATACACTGTTCATAAATATGTATTTCCTTTGTGCTTTGAACTTTTCAATACGGACTCAATGCGCTGTAACTTCATGTGGCTTCAAGCACATCATTCTCCGCTCGGGATGCACATAAGTGCTTTGTGCTGCACCGTATTGGAGCCGTAATATCATAATGCAGTGACGTAATGACAGATTATTAATTGCCTTTCAATTATATGTTGCTTTATAGCAGCCATGGCTATATTTTTTTTAATGATTTTTGTTATCTTGTTTTTCATGAATGTATTTTTCAAAAATAAGAGCAATGTGTATTATCTATTATTAATATGGTTTATAATAGCATTTTTGTCATAGATTATGACAAAGTAATCATATGATCCACCAGCGAGGAACCAGCAGAACAGAGTGAACATTCTTTCTGTTTAGTTCAATCCTACTTAATAGGAATTTATTTAAAATGCTCGCTCTACTCCACACCATTAATGTCTTGTGCGGACATCCGTATTTTGACTTTCGGTTTTAAGTAAGCGATTTAAAAGCTCCCAAGTCCCAGCGGAGTCACACGTTGATTAACCGGTGGGAATATACACAATAGGCCTACCTGATATTGAACACAAGAGGGCAGTATAGCACTACGTATGACTCAGATTATTATTTTTTTATGAATTTTACAACAATTCTGGCTGTTTTTGAACGTAAACACAATTCTTAAATGAAAAAAAAGGAAAAATTGGGGAAGTTATAATATTTGTATAATTTAATTTAGAAACAAATGATGTATAATTACATTTTTAGAAGATATGAGGCTTTTAGTGTTTACTTTTTTGACATTACTTTAATCTTTTGCCATAGTTGCACATGTCTATTGGCTAATAAATGTGATGTATCTGTTGAGTTTCAAGCAATTTCAAGCAAGCTAAGAGTCCCAAAAGCATCAAAAAATAATGTTAAAGTTTGTTTCGTTGCCACGGCATTTTGAAAGTGACACACTTCCTGCTGCCAGTTGGTGGCGCTATAACTTTGACTCACAATAGTCACATCCATGTGATCGGTCTCTTACAGCGAAAACACTGCTGAAGTTTCATCAAGATCAGTTAATGTATGCTGAAGTTATAACACACATCCTGTTCCATGTTTCTCGCCATAATTTCGTTTCCTCGCCACGGCCAAACCGTTCGAGATATCAAAAATCCCGTGGCACTTTTTCATCCTTAATGTCTTGACTTCACGCTGATCGAGTTTCGTCGAATTTGGTTCAGTGCTCTAGGAGCAATAATTTAAATTACATTGCATGTGTTTTAAACACAACCCTAAATAGCCAACTTCCTGTTGGGCTGGGGTAAAAAGTAAGAGTGTGAAGTATATATGAAACGATGAGATCTATATGTGTACCAAGTTTCATATTATTACATGCAAGTGTGTTTGATTTATGGACCAAATTTTCAGACCAAGTTTATTGACCAAGTTAATCTGATTAATAAACTAATTATATAAAACTATTGTCAATTCACTACAATTAAACTAGTTATATGCCTTTACTTATAAAAAATAAAAATAAAAACTTATTTAAAAAATACCAGGCTTGAGAAATGTATTTTCTTTATGCAGGTCATACACACAGCAGTGAAATGGTTAAGCCCCCTCCCCCTGCACACACACACACACACACACACACACACACAGACAGCCAGCCAGCCAGCCAAAGGCTCAGAGTGGCCATATTCAAACAAAAATATCTGACTTTCTGTGGGTCCTAGCTAATAAGTGTCAATTAGAAAGTTGTCCGGCTCGAGGAGTACAATATACATACCAATTTTTGTAACTCTAGTTAAAACTAACCACCCCACTTTTGTCAAAAGGTGGCGCTACTGAGCCCTCACCACGCCCGTTTCTGCAACTTTGCACATGTCTACTGGCTAATAAATGTGATGTGTCTGTCGAGTTTCATGCAATTTGAAGCATGCTAAGGGTCTCAAAAGCATCCTAAAAGCATCCTAAAAGAAGGGTAAAGTTTGATGCGTCGCCACGGCAACAGTTTCAAAGATATCAAGAATCCATTCACAGGTCTACATCTGCCGTATGTTTACATTATACATATGAAGTTTGAAGCAAATCGGGTAAAAATAAAAGGGTGATATCTAAGCATTTTGAAAGTGACACACTTCCTGCTGCCAGTTGGTGGCGCTATAACTTTGACTCACAATAGTCACATCCATGTGATCGTCCTCTTACAGCGAACACACTGCTGAAGTTTCATCAAGATCAGTTAATGTATGCTGAAGTTATAACACACTTCCTGTTTCACGTTTCTCGCCATGATTTCGTTTCCTCGCCACGGACAAACCGTTCGAGATATAAAAAATCCCCTCGCAAACTTTCATCCTCAATGTCTTGACTTCACGCTGACCGAGTTTCGTCGAATGTGGATCAAAGCTCTAGGAGGAGTATTTGACATTCCATTGCGAGCGTTTTACAAACAAACCTCAATAGCCAACTTCCTGTTGGGCTGGGGTAAAAAGTAAGAGCGCGAGGTATAGATGAAACGATGAGATCAACATGTGTACCGAGTTTCATATTATTACATACAAGCGTGTTTGAGTTATGGACCAAGTGTTCGGACCCCGTTCCAGGGGGCGCTGACGAGCTGCCCTGCCACGCCCGGGTACCATCTTCAGCCCGGCTCTGATGGCCGCGGGTTCTGACCCGTGTGCAAAGTTTCAAGAGTTTTCGAGCACGTTAAGGGCCCCAAAAGTGCCCAAAAGGTAAAATAATATAAATAAAAATAAATATAGCTGCGAGCAGCGATGGCGGGCCCAAGCCGGTTGGCACCGCAACCCCGGTTCTTTAGTTACCTAAAGGCACCGGGGTGGCGGTGCCGAAGGCTTTGGCCCTTTCATGATTAAATGTTAAAACGGCTTGCCATAGTCTGTCATTTTGACTAGTCACAATTATGTTACAGATATCTTAAATGATAATACAAACTATCCAAAATGTAATTACGACTAGACAGAAGACATTGTTGATATCTACAATGTTAATTCCGGATAGGCAAACTTAGCTTTTAAATGTTAAAGGGCTTGCCATACACGGACGTAGGCTCAGA